AAGAAGAGAGGTCAATTAGAGGAAACGTAGTTTTCTTGAAATACACTTGAATAAAATACAATTGAATCAGATATACTCGTGTTTATTCCTATATTCTTATTTTATATCATTAACTAAATAAAATAGGAGGATCCTAAATAAAAAAATTAAAATAAAATTTTAACTTTCATATTTATCAGTTTCGGTCTAACTCGAATCTTTCTCTCCGAATGTTTCTATTATTTTGGAACTAGAACTTTTTCCACCACACCAAGTAAAGGTTTTACAGAACTTTTACGTTCTGTAAAACTACGCGTTTTACGTTTCAGACATCAAGGATCAAATTTGATTCGGTGTCTGTCTCTTTGAAGTCAATTCGCTGTAACGGGTATATCTACTACCGTCAAACCGATATTCATGAAACTTTCAAAGAACGTGCGGATTGATGTTTAGATGGTCCCATGCTAATTCCATTTAATTCCATCCACCACTTCCGCTTACGCACGCGCAAATGTATTTCCTTAGCTATGCCAATATTCCAGAAATGGCTCGTACGATTTGGCTCAAAGCTGGAAGAAAGAGAGATGTTAGTAAAGAAATAATGCTGTTTCAATTCCATTGCATTCCGTCTACTGCTTTCCCTTAAATATGCTCGTAAACCAACGACTTCCTGTCCTATAGTTTCCTTTAACAATACTCCACTTATCCCTGTTGAGCAAATCCGATACCTAGGACTCCACCTGGACAAACGACTAACTTGGAATTCTCATACTAGACTGAAACGACAAGAAACCGCTCGACGTTTCCGATTACTTCAGCACTTACTAGACAAACGCTCTAAACTTCATTACAAAAGGCTCATATACTTGACTGTAATAAGACCTATCTGGACTTACGGAGTTGAGCTATGGGGCTCCACTAAACCATCGAATTCCTCTCGCATCCAATCCTTACAATCCAAAATCCTTCGTAGAATCCTCAATGCTCCTTACTTTGTCACTAATAAAATTATCCACAAAGATCTTAATATTCCTTATGTTTCAGATCTGGCCCAATCCAGATACCTATTCTTCCATGATAAACTTCAGAATCATCCCAACCCTCTCGTTTCTAACCTTGCTTCCTCTTCAATTCCTGATAACCCTCCGATGCGTCTGAAAAGAAGATGGCCCCGTGATCTCCTAATGTAGTGATATCATTAGAGTGCTACCATTGCGTAGTTACTCAGCAAGTGTATTCATGTCATTATATCTATTATGTCCAAATTTACTTGATATATTTATGTAATACAGTTGTAGATGTCATTAAGAAATAAAAAAAACTTAAAAAATATGCTCAAACGTATTTTTCGTGATATGTCTGTATCTTAAAAACCGCACATTCGATTTGGCTAAAATTTGGAGGGAAGTCAGGTATTGGTAAACAGGCAATCAAGTAGATATCTATTGCGGAAAATTCCATTCTCTACTTTCAGAAAATATTTCAGCTTTAGAATCTGAAAACGTATTGTTTTTAACACGCCTATATTTTGAAAACCGCTGGTTCGATTAGACCGAAAGTTGAAGGAAATACGGAGAATAGTGTAGAAATTTCCTAGCATCAATTTCATTAATTCTATCTAACAATTTAAATTAATATAAATAACTTTTAAACATATGATGGCAGTGAAATGTGGAATGCATTGATCACGTGAAAGGGAAGTTATATTCATATTGTTGTTTTATGAGGTTACACAATTTTAGAATGTATTCAAAAAAGTTAATTTAAACTTGATATTTTGTCGTTTGCATATTACTGCCATTACTCCTGCTGCCATTACAAAGAAATTCATGTAATTTCTTTCAGTGATTATGCGGGTTGAAACTTAGATGGCTCAATATAGATTTTGCTGAATCCCTTCACCAGATTTCGCTTAGGCATGCGATTTTCCTTTTAATAGATTTAAATTCAAGTTTACACAGACAGTAAAAAATATCGTTATATTTTTGGGTTTCTTTGTTCCTTTTTAAGTTCAACCAACTGGTTCTGGTCTCGATTTCCCTCTCAAACTTCTAAGAGTTAATGGGCTTTATTCCAAATATTTGTTTAATGAATTATAATAGAAGAGTAGGATGTAAGCATCGATAAGTTTTAAATATGTATAGGCTTTCATTTTCTGTATTTTTTTAGTCAATTAGGTGAAGAAACTATACAGACCTTACTTGGCAGACGTTTTTTGAAGAACTTAAATAAATTAATGTCAAACTTCTACTATGGACCTAGAACTTTATTACGAAAAAGTTTCTTGTAACTTTTATTTTTAAAAAAATTATTTCCCAAAAGTGTAACAGAAAGTATTAAAATAAAACTCTAAAAAGTTTAAACTTCTGCAAAAAAGGAAAACTCCAAATTCTAAAACTTTAGAAAAAATATATATACATACTTATAAAACCAAGTAAAACGTTTTCTATAAATAAAATAAATTGTTAACACTTCAGTCTGCCTTTTTTATGGATTTTTGTTTTACATTCCAATTTAACTAAGTTCAAATAAAATTTTCAATAGTAAGACATTTAAAATAAATTAAAACGTTATTATATTTTTCTCAACCAAATCTCATATGTGCACTCACAAGTACAAAATAGGTCAACAATAATGTACATATACATAAAAATATGCCATAAAAATTGTGATAACATTCTAATGGTAACACTACTGATTTAGGCGATAAAACTAAGCCTGGTTTTAGGACGCTATAAACTACACGAAATGGCACAAACCCGATCTTGGCAAATAAATCAGAAACTGAGATATAAAATAAAAATATTTGATAAGTTTTCTTTTATTTATTCCTTATACAGGCATGAAATCTTATAAATTACTGTATTGATATGGGTTATAAGAGCAGTAAACGGTTCTATTAACGTTTGATCCCAACAAAACTCTGAGAAATTAAGATTTTTTCAGAGAACGGAAGGAAAAATCCCAGAAATATTTTTATTTTAATTTACTTTAAAAAAAAATTTAAATAAAATCGATCGATCTATAATAATCTTGAAATTCCTACAGAGCAAAGACAGAAAACAATAACATAAAAAATGATTGAAATTGTACATAATATATCACTGTTTCAACTGCTTCCCGCAGTGCTACATCCTAAACCCTGATGAAGACCTGCAAAGTGGGTCGAAACTTCGGCAAAAATTAAATAATTCTATTTGTTTAATTTAATATTTATTTGGCAGCACCCCCCGATCAACTCCTTCACATGTACATAATATAATATTTTTTCTCGCCTCCTAGGGGGTATTGGTCAAATATTTTTCGGCTTACTATCACCATCAAAAAAAGTTTCATTGAAGTTGATCTCAGGTCTGCAGGTTCCACTTATAATTACCTTTAAAATGAAAACATCATCAGATTCAAAATTATTAGTGTTAATATGTATTAGTGTATCATCGGTATAAAACGGCGGCATATTTAATTTCTATATCGATTATGAGTTGTATTAGTATTTTAAATTGTTTGTTTATTTATTGAAATTTAAACTGTATTAAAACTAAAAATACAATAAGTAAATGTGATCTAACAAGTATAATTCCAATATTTGAAGAGAAATTAACAATTGAATTTTTAAATCGATTTATAAAAAATTTCAGATATTATTGACATATTAGATCAGTAATTATTTAATGCCTAGGAATTTCCGGGATCGATCATAAACCTTAAATGGGTTTTATTTAAAGAAATCAATACGAAAAAAAATAATATATATATATATAGATATATAGTGTAGTAATATATGTATATATATATTAGTGTAGTAAAATTTATAAATCTAGATTTCTAATTGAGCATAATATATTTTAAGATTTAGAGATACTGTTAGTGCAAAAGGTCTTGAGGAAAAAATTGAGATTTTGTTGAGAGCATCATAAAAACCTATTATTTCTTTATGACTTCTTGTTATCATTTCATATTTTATTTTTCTCTGCTACTTTTCTATTTAGCAAACTACTTGTAGTAATCTCAGACTACAAAATGTCACCTTTAGAAAAAAGAGAACGAACATGTAAAATACCGTTCGCACTAACAGTAGCGTTATACTGTAACTATTAATATGTTCTAAAAATTAGGAAATTAAAGCAATAGAATTCAACATTCTATTCTACAAGTTTTGAAGTACAAATGTATATGAATAACTTATAGAATAATAACTATTTCTTCCTGCATTAAAAATACTTATATTTTTTTATTGATAATGATAAATTGAAACAGTTGTAAACGATTATATTTAAGTTTTCCTAAAAATATAAAGGCTACTTATAATATTACAATTTAATAACTTATATATTTTTTTTTTATTTATTCAGAAATATTACAATCTGTCACAATTAAGTACATTTATATTAGTGTTCAGAGAGCATATTCACACTGTATAAGTAAAAATATATTTTATAAATATTATAATTTCATTTAAAAACCTTAATTAAGACCCAAAAAAAAAAATAAAAACCAAAATAAAATTATTTATGATAAAAATGTTATTAAATATTTTTCTGAACTATGAAAAAAATAGAGATTATCAAAGCATGTAGAATCAAGTTCGCTGAAATCAACTCCAATAATATAGGACTATTTCTGATAAAATAACTATAAGAAGACTTATCATATATAAATAAGTATTAATTCAATAATCGTTATACTTTTATTTTTAAATTTCCGCCTTATTATTGTTTAGCAAACCATCAATGTATATACAAGAAAGACAGTTGCAATGATTCAGAAATAATTGCCATCTTTCGTAAACACTTTCATCATGAAAATTTGATGTTTGACACCTAAATCACAGACATAATTAATAATAAAATAATTATTAAAGGAGTAATAAAGTTATAACTTCACTTTATAGGCAAATACCCAATTTATTTGATATTAAATCTTAATATATTCAAGCAAAGCAGATATGCACACTATAAACATATATACAATGATATATTAGGTGCTAGATATACCGTTATTACTATGTACTATATCGGTACCTTGTTCATGCCGTTGCCCATGGCGGGTGGGTAACTCCGGCCCCGGGGACGGTCACATCGCTACTGCCCGGCCCAGCGCAAGCCACCCCCTTGGGAGTCCGCCTCCCCCCCCCCTTCTAGCCACCTCCCGCCCACCCTCTCTTTCTCACTCTCTCTCTCTTTCTAAATATATATATATATATATATATATATATATATTCAAGTTTATTTATTTTCAGACATTTTACACCAATTTTCAAAATTTTTTTGTCAACTTAATGACTACACATCTGATTACGACGTTTCGGCTCGTTGAGCCATTCTCAACTCTAAAAAAACTTTACAATCCACAGTCACATCTAAAATATTACATACTTCAACATATAGAGATTCATTTTATATAACTAAAATACCAATCATGTAACTGTCCTTTTCAACTTATGCGAATTGCATGCGTCTACTCATGTAAAAAAAAATTTATTTTTGTCATGTCCACCTTTAATTATTTTATAACATTATTCTTACTCAATTATTTATTATTAAATAATTCAAATAAGTTTTTTTTTTTTTTTTTTTTTTTTTTATTTCAATGGAATTTACAACTGTATTACATAGAGAATACAATAAGTAAATGAGAAATTTGTAACATGGCATGTACAACATGAAGAGAAACTACCCATTGGTAGAACTCAAATTAAAGTTCTATATTAGAAGATCCCGAGGCCATCTTCTTTTCAGACGCCTCGGAGGGTTATCAGGGATCGAGGAGGAAGCAAGGTTTGAAACGAGAGGATTCGGATGATTCTGCAGTTTGTTATGGAAGGAAAGATATCTGGATTGGGCCAGATCGGAAACATATGGAACATTAAGGTCTTTATGGATGATTTTATTTGTGACAAAGTAAGGAGCGTTGAGGATTTTACGAAGGATTTTGGATTGTAAGGATTGGATACGAGAGGAATTCGATGGTTTAGTGGAGCCCCAAAGCTCAATTCCGTAAGTCCAAATAGGTCTTATTATTGTCATATATACGAGTCGTTTATAATTGATTGAAAGCTTAGATCGTTTGTCTAGTAAGTGCTGCAGTAGTCGAAAACGTCGGGCGGTTTCTAGTCGTTTCAGTCTGGTATGGGGGTAATTCAAATAAGTTAAAATTACCTTATGTTGTGTCACCGACATCTCATCAGCCTCATTTCAGTTTCATGAATGGTTATTCTTAAAGGAGTAGGGGAAGACTATTTATTTTAAACATATTATTTTAAGTACAATTAGTTAATTCATTTCATATTTTTATTTTTTCAATCGAACTCGCGTAAAAGGTATTCATATTATCCACATCTGTACGATTATTTACAGAGTTTTTTTTAATTTTTAGCTGTATATATTGCTTCTTTTATTCTACGTTTATTCATATTACTTTCATTATGTAGGATTTTGGCGTTATTGAAGTCAAATTCATGTTTTGTTTGCATAGTGTGCTGAAAGAGCCCAGTAGCTAATTTATTTTTTGTATTTTTTGAATTACAATTTTTTTTGTGCTGTTTAAGTCTTTTTTCAGACCATTGTGATGTCTGTCCAATATATGATTTGTTGTTGCAATTTTTACAATTTATTTTATAAATAATATTCGTTAATTTATCGGTGCGTATTTTATCTTTAGTTTTGGAATAAATTGTATCTATTTTATTAATAAGTTTAATTGCAAATTTAATTTCATTTAAATCGTATTGTTTAAATGTTCTTTCCATTTTGTCCGTTAAATTTCTAATATATGTGACGCTAAAATATTTTTTAGGTTGTTTGTTTTTATTATATTTTTCATTTTGTGCTTTTATGTCATGAATATCGTTTATGGAAGGTTTTTGTTTTACTGCATTTTCAGTTTTAAAATAATTTGTTATTAAATTCGGTTCTTTATTAATTTTGTTATTTTGGTTTTCATTCTCGCTTTTATCATCCCTAATATCTTTTATCGCTTTATTACTATTGTCATTTTTAACCAACTTTTTATTTTTATACCACAATTTATTTATTAATGGAATGGGGTACCAGTTTTCTAATAGCATTTCATATATTAGTGTTTTGATTTCTTTCATATGATTTTTATCGGTTATTAATTTTGGAGAAATATTGTAAATTTTTTTTTTTTTTTTGGCACTAAAGACCTGAAGATCTCGGCCGCGAGATGTTGTCTCCTTACAGACTTATATTTCTATCCTTCCATCAAAAATCTTGGAATGATCTTTGATCAAACGCTTTCCTGGAAAAATCATATATCCAACATCTCCCGCCGTACCATTTCCACCTTAAAACCTCTAAATTATTCCCGTCACCTATTTCCTCTTTAAACTCGTAGGCTCCTAGTAACTTCGTTAATTTTCCCCCACTTTGACTATTGCTGTACGGTATATGGAGGCGTCTCTGGAGATCTCGAGGCAAAATTAAAACGTTTGATAAATTGTTTTGTACAATTCATCTTTGGGATCCCAAGGGACGCCTGTGTTTCCCATTTTTATGCAGAGTTGAAGTGGCTTTATCCTTCCTACCGTCGTAAGTATTTCCTGGCATCCTTCCTCTTCCAACTCATCCAATCCCACCGTCCTTCATACATCTCCGAGCTCCTTCAATTCAAATCTTCTGTTCGTTCCCGCAATACTCGTTCCAGGTCTTCTGATTTATACATAAGGGCCCATCGAACTGCTGCTTTCGATAGATCGTTCATTATCCGATCCTCATCCCTTTGGAACTCCATCCCTCCCGACATCCGTCAATCTAAAACCCTTCCTACGTTTAAAACCCGCCTTTTAAAACATTTCTTATCCATCCAATCCCCAAGAAATTGTAAATAGTTGCTACTGTAAATATGTATATAAATTATCTGAGCGTTCTTCATTATTTTTACTTCATGTTTATTTTCAATTTTGCATTTTTTTATTATTAACTGATTTAAATTAGAAAGTAACTTATAATTTCTTTTATTATTTTTTTTATTTTGACTATTCACTTACTCTATATTTTTGTTTTGCTATGTTCCTGGCCTCGCGTTTCTACGGCGAGTAGGGGGTTCCAGAAACCGCACTTATTTGTATTTAATAGTTATATTTGTATTCATATAGGTTCCAGAAGGGAACCGATCTACAGAAAAATATATTAATTAGGTATATAAAGGTAAGATACCACAGACCCCCTACTATAGTATCCTAGATTGAACCATATAATTTTTATTGGATTTCTTTTCTAAAGGTATCATGTTTTTAAATTTACCATTTGTTTCTATTACTAATTGGTGGCATGCAGGGTAGATGGTAAAAGTACTAAGATGGTTTACTAACTATTATATTTACAAGCTTAAATAAAACCAAAAACATCTATATACAAAATAATAACTAAACCTATATACATAATGAATAGTTGAGAATCATACTGGAGGAGAATGCTTGATGTTTGATTAAAGTTATATGTGTTATATTGATTATATTAATTAATGGTTTATGGTTGCCAACACAAGTTTACATTAGTATAACTAAATGCTTGTTACCACTTAGCTGGTCCTTCATAGTGAGGGGGGGTTGCAGATGTTTCTAGCCGTCAAATCTGGATTCCCTGTCTCTGCTCTCCTTCAGCGTCTAGTCCGTCCCTCTGCTCTCTCCGGCTGTCTTCCACTTCCTCCCTCGACTCCCCCGCTTGAAGTCTCCTTAGCTGAGTCCCAAAAAGAAGTGTTCAGTCCCAATTCTCTATTTCCCACCTTTCTTCATCCCCCTCTCTTTTGGTAGTCTTCTCTGATTGGCTGAATATTCCTAGCCTAAGGGATGACCACGCTCTCTCCCCCAGGCCAAGGTAAAGCAGCAGGTACAGATTTCCGTATTTCTGGTAGAAGGTGTGAAAAGGTCTTTCGGGATCCTGTTTAAACACTTAGTTGTCGGTCTCGGTCGGTGGTTCTTAAAGGTTTTTATTACCACTTACAAAAGGTTGGGCTTGTTGGTCGTTACCCTCGTTCAGGTAGCGCCAGATGTTGGCACTTATGATATTTATTTATTTATACCTTTAAAATAATTAAATGAATACCACCGGCGGTCTTTACAATACATAGCAATTTATATATCTCTGAGGCTCCTTAGCGCACATTTTTGTTTTTCTGTATTATTCTAAAGGGACTCGTCCCAGAATAAATAAAGCATTATTATTATTATATTGCTTGCGGGAGCACGGATAGCCTTAACAGGGTCTTCCAACCTCACGTTGCTACGAACCGTGGTCTCCATGGTGCAGCGGCAGGCCATCCGTAGCTCCATAGCAGATCCCTTTGGGGCCAATCTGCCAGTGTCCTTCCCACCGACTCGATTGCGTTCAAGGACAATTTATGAAATCGTGTTTTTCTCTCAGATTCCTGTCATAGGAATTAGTGCGTATTTATAAGTGACAAACTTAATGTTTCTAGCGCTAAAATTTACGGGGGCGGGGTGGCCGAATGGGCTAAAGCGTGTGCACTGCACCACGAGTTGCCTGGCAACCGGATAAGAGATTTAAAAAGTATGAGTTCGCATCCCGGTGCTGGAGGGGATTTTAAATTCCCCGCCCTCTCCCTCCAGTCCAGGAAAATCCCGTAAAAAAAAATAGCCTAAAAGGCGAGGTAGGGAAGGAAACGAAAAAAAAAAAAAAAAAAAGCCCTAGAATTTACGTTTTTATGAAAATAATTTAAGGAATCAGTAGATTTTTTTATTTTAAACATAAATTTTTATAAGAAACATTAAGTTTGTACCTGATAAATACACATCAATTCCTATGGCGGAGATTTGAAAAAACATAGTTGCATAACCACATTACATAAAAATATTTTTAAAATCATTATTTTTAATTTTTTTATATTTATAAATAAAATGTATTTTTAGGCAATTATATTATTCATTAGTTATAGTATTAAAATACAACCCATATCACTGAAAAACAAGAAATAAACGCTTTAAAACAGCTACTTGTAGTCATTTTTGCAAATACTTTAAGGCGACTGGATATTATATCACATCATTTCTTTACACAATTTGAGGTGAATATCAAAATTTTATCAAAA